TTATCCATTCTTATCATACTGTGCTTTTTTTTCCCCCCTACAAGAAAGGCAACCTTTTAAAATATGTTTTTCTGAGCTAATTCAACATTCTGGAGTGAATTATTGTGCAAATTGGTTTGCTGACTTGTAAGCAAAGCTTTAGTTCATGTCTATATTCAAGATTTTTTAAAGGTCATAAACTTTCTTTTACATATTCAACAGATATGTTTTCCATTGTATATCTAGACTTTAAAAAGAAAAACAGAGTTCTGTGTAAGTAGGAATGCAAAATATTTTCATCTTCTAAATAGGGAGGGAAAGTGCGCTGGCTTTTAATTTTTATAAATGGAACAATAGAACTCTTATGGGTATAATAAACTGATTTACCTGTGTATCTTTTAATAAGATTTAATGAAATTCTCTTTGCAAAACAACTGAGATTTTGTTTGAAGGACAACACTTGCATTTTAAAATGTCACTTCTTTCCCTGAGCTGTAATTAAGTTTCATTTAGTTGGATTCTTTTCACTTTTCTTCTTGTGTTCATACTTATTGCTTTGGATTCTGCTTTGGATCCCTGAGCTTAAAATAACAGGCTTTATTCTTCCAAGTGCAGAAGCCCATGGGCAGACGTTATTTTTCACTCTGTCCTTATCTTGGACCTAACTCTTCATTGCCAAATAAACTTTCTACCACAGCATCACCAAAATCTGGTTGTTCTTTGGAGTAGATGAAGCCTGAACCCCGAACATGTTCTATTCTATTCAGAGAACTACAACCTTCATTACTTTGGCCTTGACAATTATTATATTTTCTATGGATCATATTGTCTCTGAATTCCTCTTCTTATTTGCTGCTTTGGGCTGCCTCTGTAGTCCATTAAGGTATATAATTTTTACATAATTCAGCAAATTCTTTTGTTTGCTTCTCAATTTGGTTCTCAGCTGCAGGCTGGATAGAGCAGTTCAGCTCAGTATTGACTTCAGCCTCTATGTCATAGACATGCCTTAGTTTCATCCCTCAACTACCAGCTTCTCCCACAAATACTTCATTTTAGTCCTGCCTTTCCTGTGTAGCATGAAAAAACAGTTCAGCAAACCTTAAAAAAATCTTACTTATCCTCTTTCAAATCCCAAATTACAGCTCACCTCTACCAAGATCCTCGAATACACAGATTTTGTGGTAAGGCAGTGTTGTGGCTTCAGTCACAGCAAAGACCGTGAGGTCCTTCACTGACTTCCCCCCAACGTAGTGAGACAGGGAGAGAAACACAACAAAAGGCGTGTGGGTTGAAATGAGGACAAGGAGGGCTCACTCACCAATTATGGTCAAGGGCAAAACAGACTCAACTAGGGAGAGAAAAAGCAATTTAATTCCTTACCAATCAGAGCAGGATAGTGAGACATAACCACATTTTAAAACATCTTCCCCCCACACCTCCCTTCTTCCTGAGCTTAAATTACTTTGCTCCCAATTTCTCTATCTTCTTCCCCCAGTGGCACAGGGGACAGGGAATGGAGGTTTCAGTCAGTTCATCTCTGCCGGTCTTTGCAGCATGAGGTCCCTCTCATAGGCTAAAAGAGCTCAGGGATAAAGTGTTCTTACATGGGCTTCCCACGGAGTCATGCACAGCTCCCAGCTCCAGCATGGGGACATCCACAGGCTGCACACGGGTGGGTCTCCAATCCAGCACACATCCTCCCCTTGCTCTGGCATTGGGCATCTCCGGGGTCTCCTTTGTCATCCAACTGAGCACTCAATGTAGTAACAACTGCCCACAGGCACAGCTTTCTACTCCAGCATGGAGTCCTCCATGGCCTACACATTGGTAACTGCTCTGCTGTCAAACATCCATGAGCTGCAGGGGACACCATTTACCTTCCCCTACTCTTCTCAGTGCTGATCTGGGTGTCTGAGCTTCTCTGTCTTACCCCTCCTTCTCCTCCTTGCTCTGCTGTCAAACATCCATGAGCTGCAGGGGACACCATTTACCTTCCCCTACTCTTCTCAGTGCTGATCCGGGTGTCTGAGCTTCTCTGTCTTACCCCTCCTTCTCCTCCTTGCTCATGTCATTGATGGTCTTTTTGTTCAAGCCAATGGTCTCTCCTCTCTCTCTTCTTTGCCAAAACAGTTCTTCCTCTCATAAATATGTATTCAAAGAGGCATTTCCCTGTCACTAATTGGCTCAGCCTGGGCTGGAGGTGGGTCCACTTTGAAGCCAGGGAACCTTCTTGAAGCTTCTCACAGGAGCAGATAATCTAAAACTATATTTTTCCAATTCTTTTTTTGGCTCTATGTGAAGTAATGCTATCTAGTATAATTAGTGCAGTTAACGAAGCTTGCTGGTTCCATTTCTCACATTAATCATTTGCTCGAGTATTTTATAGCTGTTCTTTTTCCTTTTTCTACACATGCTTTTAGACTGAAGGGCTTTGGGGGCACACGAGGAAGGGGGTCCAAATAATTGAACCTCCAATATATGCCAACATTTTCTACTATAGCTCTGTCATTGAAACTGATACACATAGTATATTTGACTAGTCCATTCATGTTAGACAGATTTATGTGACTGTGGGAAAATGAGGTAAAAATAGGTGGATTAAAAAAAAGACCATTTTTTGGTGTGTGTGTGTATATACGATCTGTGCTGGGGAACTGCACCTTTAGGATCTTTAGCATTTTTATTGTGTAGAGGGTAAAATTATTCAATACTGGCTAGTTAAAATGCGGTCTTTTGTAGTTACCTAACATTTAAAACAGGAGAACTATTGTCAAGTCTCATTATCTCTCTGAATACCAGCTCTTTATTTAAAAACTGGGGTTTGTAAATGTTATAAAATTATAAAGATTTATAAACACTTTGAGAGTGTTTTCTTTTGATACGTATATATCACATAATCCCTGGAACAACAATGCCTTGTCTAGGTCAGGACATCTACATACTCTTGGAATATAAATAGCAAGTGAGTAATTGTGCCACTAGTGTATACTTGACAAAACTCTTAATGACCATCTGAACATCTTCAGACATATCCCAGAGCAGTAAATTGCTATTGGAAATGTGATGAGCTTGAAAATATTTTAGCAAGTCTGTTGCATCAGGAGTGAATTTCTTCCCTAGAATGCAGCTGGGACAGTTAATATGTATAAGGTGTGCATTGTTATTTTATATAATGTGTACGTGTGAATGTGTTTATATAGATAAATTTCTGAGCAGTTTTTTTTTTTTCCTTAATAATAACCCTCATCATACCCAAATGCTATTTCACTTGCTATTTTGTTTGCTGTGTTGGCAGTCTGGCTTTACAATACAAAGGTCATATTTTGATTCTATGCTGAATAACTAATATAATCTCTATTCAGAGGAACGCTATACTTTTTATTTAGTTAGCACTAGATTGTGCTTTGGTGTCATTTTCTCACTGGAATTACATGTTTATCCAGGAGCTGTCCTTTTGAATCTCATATGTTTTCCCCAAGAGGAAATGACAAATTGCCCAAATAAGTGTGGCAGGAGCTGAATTGTTGGGTAATGACTGACTAAGAGCTTATTTTCTTTACTATGTGTAGTGATGTATGGTGAGAAAGGTTCACTCAAGCCCTTAACTGCAGATGTGGCATGCTCTTCCATTTTGTGTGGTTTGCATTATTGAGATGGGGGTTCATCCGTCTTTAACTAAACTCCTCCTTGCTGGAAGGAGAAGGCCAACTTGCATGAGTAAGAGGTCTGATCCTTTGTTCCTCCCTATTGCATCTGATTCTTCAGTGTTGCAGGCTTTGCATGGGCACATGTAATCTGATGGCAGAACTAGGGTACTTAGTGTCATCAAATCCTTAATTTCACAGACCTTGACAACAACAACAAAAAAATCTGTGTTAACTGAAATGCACTTAGACTGAGGGAATTAAAGGGCTGGTTTGGGCTGAGATTCATAATGATTTGTATAAAATCTATTTGATAGCAGGAAAAAAATCCTAAAATCTTAAATGGGTAACATCAGCCACTCTTATTAACTGCAAGGAGCTAAAAGAAAGCTGTTAAATCATTGACCACTCTGGGGGATGGGGAGTGCGGGAATTGGCTATCTGTTTAGCATCAGCTGAAACACATTTCTTTATGATATTTCTTTATGATAGATGATTGACATTCATTCAGAGAATGGACACACTTTCTCTACTTTAAGTAGACAAAGAAAGGTTATATTTTCATTAAGATACTTCAAATTCAGTGATAGTTTTTTGGTTGTTTTTTTTTTTTTTTTTAAGAATAAGGTATCTTCAAAATGGTTTTAAAGATTTAGTCTCCATTCTTGAAAGTTATGTGGGTGAGCCATTTGACTATAACAAGAGAGAATGTAGAGAATTATGAGAGTTATAATCACTTACACTTAGGGAGCTGATGAATCAAACTAGTCAAGCAGTCCAGTCCTTGAAGCATGTTTTTTACAAACTAATCACAAGACGACTGGAATTGAGTGCAGCAGTTTTATTGGAAAAAGTCCATAGGTGTGTGCAATTCCTTTATTAAAATGTTTTCAAATACATTGGACAGGAGCAATTGATGATCAAGAGTTATTCCTTTTTTTATACATTTTTTATTTCCAAAACTATACAAACATTGGAAAACTTTCCTTTTCCTCCATTTTAGCCTTTAATAATTCTGTAATTATAAGTTATATATCTCCCTTTTCAATCTGCAAGCCCACTTTCCTGGAGGTGACATTTTGCATCTTCGACAATTAAAAAAAAGATCAGTCATATTTACATGTGCTTAAGGTTGCATAATTGAGCGTCATATAGGTTCTGAAAACCAGTGGATAAATAATTTCCAGATTCACCCAGGTGGACTGAAGGTTTTAAATACACATGAACTGCATACAGGTGATTTAGTAGCCAAGACATCCTTTGTCCCCTTTTCTTTTCAAGGCTATCTATAAACTGTGTGCTAGCCATGGTAAAGGTTTGTTTTAAGTAAAGGTACTCACCGAGTGAAAAGCAGTGCTGACAAGAACTATTGCTGATCAAGGACATGAATGGGCAAAGAATTATATGTGTATATATAACACAAAATCTAATGTTTCAAAACGAACTTGAAGCTCTTATATAAAAATAATGTCTAGAATAAAAGGTATTTCCTAGACAGGATTAAAGAATTAAAAAACCCCACAAACACTTGTGTAAGGAAAAAAGTAGAGCTCAACATGGGAAAAAAAAAACCTAAAAAACAATAGAAGCACATGGATTAAATTCAGAATCTGATCTTGCAATGTGTAATTACTGGAAATTCAGTTGAAATATAGCAACATTATAAATGGAAAATGAAGGCTACAACTGCAGCAGACACATACAGTATGCTTTATCAGCTATTATATTGGCCATACAGATTTGCCTACATGTTATTTATTTAAATCCTTAAGGCTTCTCTAATGTCTTACATGAAAGTGCTGTCTGCTTGGATCTTCCATGCATGAGGGAAAGGGGTAAATTTTCAAGGAGGAAAAAAAAAATAAATTATCCACATTTCAATTACAATAGCACATCCAGAGACACAAAATAAAAGACAAAACTTTATGGTACCTTTGTTTCATTTATTTTGGCCCCCAAAAGATGCATGCACTAGACTTTATGTACTACAAGGTATTGAAATATTTACAGCATTGTACATGTGCTCTTAAAGGGATGGCAAAGGGAAAGGTCTATTTTTATCTTGGTTGGGAGTAGAAGTTACTTTTCTAGCTTAATAATACCTACTCAAAGGGAGAGATGACTCTTCCAAAAAGAAAAGCCCACAGAGAATAAAGCTATAGCATAATTATAGCCAGTGTTAACAAACTGTACAGCACTTTACCTGGGAATTCTCCACTTTCTCACTCCTGTTTGAAATAACAGTACCAACCACTAAGTGATATTGCCACACTCCCCCTGCCCTATCTGCTCTATTTGTCTCTATTCCAGCAGGTATAGCTGTATATTACCTGTTTATATGATTTTTATTTCAAATTATTTTGGCATGTTGAACAGACATTTAATTCACAATAACCCAATGGCAATTTTAGGACAAATGATATGATTGATATTTACCGGTTTATGGCACTAAAGAATTCAGACCACTATAAAGCGTGTTGTAAATACTTCAAGTGGACTTAGGAAACCATCTCTCTAAGAAATTCAGTGAGTAAGGCTCATATCACTGATTTCCATTTGCTTTTAAAGGTACAGATATGATACCCAATACACCAGGTTAAACAAACAGAAGGCAGTTGGGAAGAAGATGCGGGCATAGGAGTCCATTTTGGCAATGCGGATATGTATTCTTCCATGCCTCCACGCTCCTGTTCGACAATCCTCAAAGCAGCAAAAAAAACTGGCACAGTCCTTGCCATCAAGACACTCATACCCATATTCTTCATCCCTTTCTTGGAGGTGTGTAGCATTGTTCATTTGAATAGTAGCTGATCGAGGCCGGATGTCAATTGTAGGTGCCTAAGGTGGAGCGGTAAAAAGGGAAAAAGATGGCAGGAGGGAGAGAGACTGTTATTATCACCAGACCAACAGGAAGATAGAGACTAATGGTCAACACATGAATGATGGTTCCGTGTGGGGTACATGGGAAATTGCTGAAGAGTTCTAATGGTAATATTACCTTGAACTTAAGATCAGTTCCATCATATACTTTCACTTTACAGGAAAGCAGCAACAATCAATATAAAGTTAACAGCTGGGGACAGTTAGCTTAAAGCCGAACTAAGTAAACATTAGAGATTAAAGGAAACATTCATGAATGTAACTGATGGTATTTTGAATTTCTTTTGTATTTCACATAGCTGCTTGATATCTGAAGGCAATTTGTGTATCGCACATGGAAGGAACTGAAATAATCAATTGGAAATGCAGGATTTTAATATAGGGCTGCTTTGTGTTGAGACAGGAGCAAATATATACATGGAAAAAAAGAGGCAAAAACTGGGTCTTTTTAATAAGGTTAGGAGAATCTCTACAAGACCCTCCAATCGTTTGAATATATGCAGTTCACCATCCACTAATGTTCACCAGATAGAAGGTTCAACATGTTCCAAATTTTATATAGTAGCTGTACATATATATATACACACACATATATATTTGTAATGAATTGAGCGAATTAAGCATTTAAAACACATTTGAGCACTTGGCGAACACTGAGATGACAGGCATTGAAATTTCCTGAAAAAAGCTGATAGTTATTAGGGTAAAATAACAATTCCATTCCACAAGTTTGTAAATTTCTTGGCTTTTATTTTATTTTCCCCTGTTGTTTTTGATGAAATCACTGCATTTCTGAATGAAGAAAAGGTTTAGATGTGGAACATAGCTAGATATATTTGCTAATTTGCCAAGACTGTGTTAATCTAGTGACAGCATTAAAAATATATATGCATCTTAAACCCTTTCAAAACTCTGACTTTTTTGCATAAGGAACAATATTTGAGTAATTGATGATGACATTGAATTTTGTTCAGGTCAACATCAGAACAGATTTGGTTTTACAATTTGCAGTGAAATCAGAAAGGTTAAAAAGACAGGGTCAGAGTTGAGTTCTAAAAGGGTGTATTGCAGGTGTAGCTGGTGCTATTGGATCCCATGGCAAATTGAGAAAGAGGAGTGGAAATGTTTTAACATTAGACTCTTAATTCATGTGATCCAATAATGTTAGTTGCTATTGAACTTAGGTAAGTTCAGAACCATAGTGAATCAGTATTTGGGCTGCTGAATCAACTCTACAAATTGTTTAGAACTACGTAACCATTCTACTTAATTAGGAAGTTACCTTGAGTAGAATGCTGAGATGTCTCATTAAAAAAAAAAAAAAAAAAAAAAAGCAAAACAACAAAATGCCACTCTATTATAAGCTCTAATAGTTAAATTCAGCAGTTGCATGCAGTGAATTTCCATTCCAAAAGACATTATACCTTGAAGGAAAACATCCGAAGAAGCTTTCATTTTGTAGACAGAAAAGAGAATCAGAGGGTTTTGGTTTAAATTAAAGAAAGGGAGGAAGGAAAGAAAAAAAAGAGACAAAAATAATGTAAATTAAAAATATGTTTCTAAAACATAGTAAGTCAAAAAGAACTGAATTTATAGAAAGGTTGGGATAATAACAATTTAAACAAGTATCTGTAATATAAAACTGCAACATTTTTTACTTGTCACTGTCTTGTAACTACGTTTGGGCCAAAGACATTAGATATCAAACTCCATTTAGATCTTTTCATATTCCCAGGGAATTCCTATCTCTTATGTTGAACTGTTTTGAAAGAGACCATTCACAGTTTCAAAAAGCACTTTAGAAAAATGTTCTTTTAACCTGCAGACTGACTCCTGAACATTCTACTTTTAAGTTTTTCAGACTGTCCGAGTATGATCCGGGCAGTCATTTATAGTTGTGTTTGTCCCCAAATGCTCACAGATAATTAATGTAAAGAACAAGTAATCTGCCTTTATATGGGTATCTTTAAGTGAGACAGCTAAATTTGAGGTAGTTAATCTTTGCTCCTTTAATTGACTGTGGAAGACACACATGCACACAGACAACCTTTTATTTTGGCCTAAGACAGGCCAGGATACATCATCCTCTGGAACTGCCTCTTTCTTTCTTTTGACCAAAAGAGGCCTATGATCAAATCCAACTTTAGCATATCTAAAGTTAGGTGAGAATTCTTCTTTTAGAGTCTATTAGTTGTTTTTCTAGCTGTTTAATAAAAGGTTCTTTAATCACTATTTTTTCTATATTCTTTTTGTGCTGTATGTTATAAAAGAGGGTATCTTCAAAAGCCCTTGAAGATTTTAACAAAGCAAATCCAAGTCACTTCATTGTTTTCTAGATGCCTGAAATGGATTTGAAAATACTCTCTATTAATATAAAACACTTGTTCTTCACATTTTTCACAGGCATATTTGGGTTTTTTGTAGCTAATTAGGCTACTTTTCCCTCTAGGATTTTACTCTAATTCTTTTCACTTCAGAGATTCTAGACAACAGACTTTTCAGTTCAATTGCAGAAGGCAAAGAAAAATCTGTCCTGGAAAAAAATAAGCAAAAAATTTGTTTCCTATCTGGGCAAACCCCCAAATTCCTACTACGAGTATTTCCAGGATTTTTTTATTGTCACTATTATATACATTTTTTTATCATTGTGTAGCATGCATCCATAAGTAACATTATAAACTGCTAGCTGAATCACAGAGAAGTAGGTAAAGGAGGCAAGAAATACACGAAAAAGAAGATAAGGAAACAATGAAAAGGAAACAGATGCTTAAGGGGAAATTAGAAAAAGCACACTGTAATTTGAATATAAAAGTTTAACTTTAGTCCTGATAATAAGAAAAACAGGGCCATGTCAATAACATGGACATAAGCTAATGGCAGAGACTATTGCTAAAGCTAAGACAGAGAAACTGACAGTTTTTCTGTAAAGGTCACAGCAAGAGCTCTATCTATAACATAAATAATGATTTTGGTGATAGTTGTGATTTGCAGAACACTTTGATTAAAAGGATCCTTATTCTAATAAAATAGTTCTCCAGCATTCAGATGACTGTAATATATGAGCTTTTCATTCTCAAGGTGAATGTTTGCATTCCTATTAATACAAAGGAAGAGTATATACGTAATAGCAAAGTCTGAAAAGAAAGTACAAGCATGAAGAGGGATTTAAATGCTCTTTTAGAAAACCTAATTGAATTTTACACCTTGACAGTAAAAAGATACATACTGGATTTTTCTTCTTTTTGTCTTTATCTTTGCTTGGCTTTCTGTTGCTGACAAAGTAGTGCAAAGTTCCGTATTCCACCAGTGCAGAGAAAACAAAAATAAAGCAAACCGACACAAAAAGATCCATTGCTGTCACATATGAGACTTTGGGAAGAGATTTACGAGCAATTGTACTTAGGGTGGTCATTGTCAGGACAGTTGTGATACCTGTCAGATAGATAGAAAACAACAGAAATATTATTACTTCAAGTAACAAACTGATTTTGTCAATGATCTCTGACTGGTTATGAAGTATGCCTGGAGTTCAAACACATAGCAAAGCCAATAAACAGCACATCCCAGCAGTGAAATCTTGGATTCAATGATCTAAAAGGTCTTTTCCAAGCTAGGCAATTCGGTGAAATGTGGATTCAATAAGACCTTTGAGGATTAACACGGGATATGAAACATTTTTTCATGGTTGCTGCAAGTGTTGCTAGGCAGAATACTTTGGTTAGATGGCTTCTGATTCTAAGAAATTTAATTTGCTTTTCTCATTTTATAGTTTACTTTTACGGGACCTTTAGTTTTAACTGAAAAAAATTAGTTTTAGGGGGTTTGTGCTCAAACACTTAAACAGCATTAGAGAGAAGAGAACTTGTGTCAGAGTGAGAAAATCATGGTGGAAATAAAAATCACTTTATTCCATTCTTCAAAGTAACTCAAGACCAGTCTCAAACTTTGTGTTGGGATGTTTTGTTTATTTCTAGTTGCAGGGTAACGATACCGGTGCTGTTAAGAGAAACTCTTGCAGCCATTATATGAGGTAGAAATTCATGAAAATTCTGAAGAAAGCATGTAATCCAGCAGGAACTTCATGACAAAACATGTGTAGATTTGTATATGTGCTACATAAAGAAATGAAACTGTTTCCCTTCTCTTGCCTAAATGCATTCCAGTTATATGCAAAAGATGCTAGCCCCACACAAATGACCCGCTGCTTGTTATTAAAGTGATTTCTTGCATAAAAAGCTGGAAGGGAGAGTCTCGCAAGGCTCCTTATATTGTAACACTATGAGGTCAGATTTCTCTCTGTGCTAAAGCAGTAACATTTCTGGCCTTCATAAGTGACTGTAGTCTATAACTGAGAAGTACTGTAACATGCCTCACCATCCCTTCTCCTTTCAGAACTTTATTCCCTGTACTATGATGTGAAGAACATTAAAAATGTGTCAGAGCAGTTAAAATCCATCACATTTTATATGGCAAATTTCATACTGCCGATCTGACCTCCTCAGTGGTACAAATAGACTAATTGTCAACAGAGGGACAGATCTGTTTTGTATATCTAAGTAAAATTTAAAATAACAGCTTATACGTCTTTAAAGCAGATATTATAACCTGTTTTTAGAGAGGATGTGAAAAAGGCAATAAAATGCTTAAAATGTTCTGTTATGGGAGCCACTGGTCCTTTATTCCTGTGTTTCTTTCAAGGGAGTTCTAGACTGGAAATACTGTCCCTCTTCTTGCATTCTGGTGCTCTGTGCTGTAGTTCTGTGAATAAATGAAAATGCAGAAGGAAAAACTAAAATGATTCTTACATGTGTGAATTTAATGCAGAAGTAGAAAATGTGTTTAACTTTCTCTAGTTTCTACTTTTTCTAGTTTCTACTTTGCTAATTCTTACAGCTACAGCTCCTTTGCACAAGCAAGGTTAACTTCATCTCAGTTTATTTGTGGAACAGTTGCTAAATGTGTAGAAATTGTTAATTCTGATTAATTATGTGTCACATTTTCAAGTATAGGATTTTAGATACCATGAAATTCAGTTGATTTTGTGGCCTGAAGGCCACAAATGATTGTTGGTCCCTAAAGCAGATGTCAGGGTACTACATTCTCCCCTTTTTACCCCTGTGGCACATAGTCAGAAAGATCGATTCCTTCTTGGTACTTATTTCATTTGTGTTGCTAGTCACCATGGAATTAGAGCAAATAAACCAATGTGTCCCTGTCCCTAATCCAGCTATATTTCCCATCCTCTTGATGTTTATAAAAAATACTTATGTAGTCAGACAAGATGTAAAAGGTTTTATTGTAAGCAATCTACAGTGCTCAGACTTAGGATCTGACGTACCAAAAAGGAAGAGATGCAGATATAGTTCTGTTATTCCTTGGAAATTACTACATCCCTCTAAACAAGAAGAGCTTGTGTGAAATTGTCTTTCCACTCACATTGATAAACTGGTGATCTGCAGAGATGTCAATTAAACATCGTCTCTATTGAATAAAAACAGGGAATAAAAACAACTCACCCAGTGATGTTCTGGCTGGAACTGCATCCTTATTAATCCAGAAAGAGACCCAGGACAACACAACAATAAGTGTGCAGGGAATGTAGGTCTGAATAGTGAAATAACCCATTCTCCTGCTCAGATTAAAGTAAACAGACATGACTACATAATCTCCTGTAAAATAAAAGCATATAAAGATAGAAGAAGATGTTAAAAACTCCAGACAGAATTTCTATGTAATAGCTAGGGTTTTCCCGTTCTGTGTCTGTGATATATGTATTGAACTGATTCACCAGATAGATTGACAGTAAATACATGCATAGCTCTTCTTCAACACTGGTATAGCTCAAGAACTAGTGGATCTTCCACACTATGCAAATAAGGAGTCTTGCAGGTTTACTTAGATAACTTGTACATTAAGATTTCATGGTTGTCCTTCTTTGCATAGCACAGCAAACTTCTTCCCAAATCATTCCTCTCAGCTTGCAAATGCCTGGTATAGTCCTCTTACAGCAACTAAGTAAGTGGTGGTGGTCCAGCAAACTTCCAGTCACCATGCTGTCCCTGTTAGCGTGCTCTCAGCTCTGCTCTCAAATAATGCGTGCTTTCAGTTGTACTTTCTAAATTATTCATGTCTCAACTATTCTTCCGGGCTAGGCTGTGTCAATAATTAATTTTTTTTATTTGCCTGCAGATCTCCTGTTGTATTATTCCTTCTAAAAGGATTTGAACCCACATCTCTTAGATGCCCCCAAAAAACAGACTGTACATTATTACTCTGGTGTGCACAACACATCATTCCCATTCAATAGTTTTCTGATTCTTTTTCCAGGTTTTTTCCCTTCTCAAACTGTTAAGTAAATTCCCTCTGGATTCAGGAATACAGCAAAGTTTCAGTTTTTGATGTATTTTTTCTGAACTAAAAACCCCCTAGTTCTTATCTTTACTTCAGATTACGGCACTCCTGGGAAATCTTGATTGCAAAAGAACTACAGAACCCCAGGCTACAAAAGACTTCATTGCAATTCAGTGAAATGCAGTCCAGAGAAGCCTCAAACTGAGACAGAATAGGATTTGCAAATTTAGTGTCAGATAGCTTTCCAGTGTTATCAAAGAGACTCTGTGGCTAATGTGTATTCTGCTTAGATCAGTACCTTTATTTAACATTGAGTTCTCTGTTTTCAGGCATAATTAAAATTTTAATTTCCCCCTGAATAATCCCTTTGAATCTGGACAAAGAAGAAACTTCAGAGATCACTTTTCTGCTGATCCTTCTTTGTTGTGTTATTTTTTTTTAATGTGAATGTCCACATCCCAGGGATTAGCTGATATTAATTTAATTATATTATGTTATAATTAAACCAAAACCTAAAAAAATAAATTATGTATTTGTGTTTTACAAGGAGATGTGGCTGAATATAAGCAACCAATTTTAATAACTACAGTCTGATTATCCCCTTAATTCACAGATAAGTTTGCATTATATTTGTATTTCCTTCGTATACCAAAAAAAATAACAAACCAAACCCAAAACAAAAAACCCACCACTAATCAGGAACACTGTAAAACTGAAGCCATAAAATTACGATATGACTCATTCTTCATCTCTCTGTATCGTGTATTAGCTTCCTGAGAAGTTATTATTTTGTCAGTTTTGGGAATTAACTTTTTTATTCTTTCACCTTCATATATGCTATTAATAGCATTGGTATTTCAAAATAGAGGGGTTTTTCCTGCTATACTGTGGTAAAAATTACTTTAAGCAGCAGCTGTTTTACTTCCATGCAAACAGTTTTAAGGAAAAGGCTGTTTTCGTGCTCAGTATTATTATATTACTTTAATGAGATAAAAAATTACCAGAAGAAAGAGGTGAAATATATATCTGAGCACAGATGAGAACATAAACAGGTAGAAAAGAGTAGCTCAGAACTGAAATTTAAAAATCAGATGTTTTCTTTCTGTTATTGCTGCTTTTTCTGAAGCTGCAACTGCTATAGAGTCTTTTGGAGTAGCTGAACAGATACATCAGATCCTAGGGGTAACTACTTTCTCCATATTTTTGTCCTGTACTTAGACAGGTCTTTTTGCCCAACTGTTTTGGTAGTTCTAGCACTCTTGCCTTGTAGGATCAAAAGAACAGAAAATATCAGAATCAAGTACACAAGCCAGCGCTTTCTTACAGGTATTAGAGGCGAATCCAAAACTCAGCACCTGTGCTGAGAAAACAAACAGGTAAATCCTTATGACCTAGACCAAGTCATACTGCAATGAATTCTTGTTCAATAACAGTGTATCCAAACCAAGCCAAATGGTGGTGTGGATAGCATAGGAATAGGCAGCTGTGTGTACATAGAGAGTAGCTTCAGTCCTTCCATTTTATAGACCATTTCCACATACGCTCATTTATATTTTTTGTTTTGTTTTGTTTTTTCTGGAAAGCTTGGTGTTGATCATCTGGTCTCCTTAGAGACTTGTCTGGATTGTTTCATTAACATGTGGAATATTTTTTATACAGTAAGGTATAACAATAGTATGTTTACAATATTTTATGCATTATTTTAAAATAAAAAAAATGTTCAAAATGTAATGCATAAGAGCTTTTAAAATGTTAACTAACTTGTAAAGGCTTCAGTCCGTTCAGCAGCAATGAAACATTACTTTGAGTTCTCTGTCATGTCAAAGATGCACTTCAGAGGACAATACATTTCTGTAGTGCAACAGCAGTATCTTGTCGCAGAGCACTTGCTACACAGACTGGAGACATTCCAGGTGGAAGTGCTTTATACCTAATTGAACACAATTCCCTGTGCTTTTTTTAAAAAAAACAATCAAACTGGACTTCTTAACCAATTTTGTTTAGAAATAGCATGTCTCTGCTAACATGTTCCAGAAAGTTAAATGATGTAATTGTTCTAGATTTCTACCCTTACAAATATCATCACACCTTCTGTTATGCAAATACTTTCTTTTCTACTGGGCATATGTGTAAACTAACACAAACCACTCCAGAATGATATCCATTGGAAACAATGTATCAGTATTTATAGACAAAATCCACAAAATTATTCTGGCAGACTTTACTTCTCATTCCTTGTAGAATTGGAAATATTTTACTGAAAACTCAAGGAAATAAAGAGACCATATATACTTTATATGGGCTTTAAGGTTTCTACTAATGGAGAGGTTAAATCAGAGGAATTAAAAACTTCGGTGTCAACTATAACTTGCTAGGCAGCGTAGAGTTGACCAGTCTGAAGAATCATTCAAGGATGCATACGTTCTTTTAAATTCCATGTTACTTCCTAACCAGAAAGCCTGTTGGTGCTGCAGACTCTGTTGCATTGTGGAGTAAATTCCACTATTTCAGAGAATCTTACTAAAGAAAGGCATAATATTAATGCCACAGAGAGGTATTTTGTTTATTTCTTACCTTGCTTGGTTGGGATTTTGGGAACTGAGATGTACTGATGATTCTTTCGAGGTAAGTGTGAATAACAAATATAAATTAGGAAACGCCAAGACAAGGTAAGCCAATAATTCTGTAATGTATGAGTATCTCTTCCAGCCTTCAAGTAATATGAACAATTGTGAATGAAACATTAAGGAAAACAGGACTAAGTGGTGGGATGCTCTGGAGAAGCATCTTGCTGGTATTGCCTAGTTCACATAAGTGATGTTGGAATGATAAAACAGCAGGACTTCTGAGTTTTTGGATAAGAAAAGGACTCTGAGCATACAAATTAATGCAAGACTAAAGGTGTGCAATTTAGGACTTAGTATCAGTTGTCATAACACGTACATCCAAAATGTAAAATTCATTAAGTCCTCTGTGGAACACGGACTTGACAGTACTTTAACCACATCTTTCATGATGGAATCTTGTCCCAGCCCTGTTTTTATCCACATTTGATTTTTCTGACTCTTTTCAAGGACTTCTCTGCTCTTCAGCTGGGACCAGCTTTTAAATACTTGCTGTTATTTTCAGATTATCTCTGCGCCTGAGGTGATTTTTTCACTCCTGGTGTGATGCCTGCATGAAGCTGTCAAACTAAGACATTATTTTAGTAAAAAATGACCAGACTTGATCCTTAGCACAGTGTCATTCATTAGTCCTCACTTGACAAATTGATAATATTTTCATTATTACTTCATTCTCTTTCCCTGAGCTCTGGCTCTTGTTTATCCAGTATTGTCTACTGCATCAAGAAAGCTTCTCAGACTGACAGATTGCTGTTTGGAGGGCTAATATACTTTCAGATTTTTCTAGAAATAAATGATAATGCAACCTGGCAGTAGCTTTGTAAGACAATATACTTAAGTACATTTAGGGCCCTAATTAGAAAATTTTGGGTTACTTAACCTTTCACCAGAGACTTTACAGTCCTGACACCCATTCTAAGGTATACATAACTATTAAGTATGTTTAGAAAATAATACCTGTATAACTTTCAATTTTTAAAGAAATACAAAATTTCCCTGGAAAAAAAAATCTTATTACGTGGAAGGGCATAATAAGTAATCTTCAATATATTTATACCTCATCTCCCTCTCTCTATATAAATATATGTACTTCTCCTATTACTTTCTATTCATCTATGTTTGTATATATAGATAGGTAGACATAGTCTTCTTCATCTGAAAATACAATAACCAGTTAGTCAGTTTTTTCAATTACATATATTTACACCAGTCCCTCAGGGAAATGATATCCAGGTCATGTTTTTCCTTATGTGTAAATACTCATATCAAATTTTCTACTAAAAGCATATTCCTGTCAATTGTGTTTGGAAAATCATAAGACGCAGGGAAGGGTTCTGATTTGAGCCACAGCGTCTTCATACTGCTATTCTGAATAGGAAGTTGAAGATTTCTCTCAGTGGCAATAATCCCTGCTGCACACAGAGAAAGTGCATGGGCCTTAAGTCACTTCTAGAGTAGGAGATATTTTGAAAAGGTGATGTATACCATCAGTACCCAGTGATCATGACCTTAGTAAACCCTTACGAAAGGTCTTAGTTCTAACAGTCCTTATGCCATCCTAATTTACACAGACTCAAAGCAGTCTATGTGAACTTTGGAAACTGGGAAGCTCCTCCTACCGTACACTTGTGTGTGATAGTAATCTGAACACCAGGATTCAGGCTCTGTTAGACAGTAGGAGAAATATATCC